ACATTAATTTATTTTAGTTATCTAAAGGCAATGTTATTTCCAGAGACATTTATATTTTCTGTTTTTTGTCTCAGATTTTTCTTTTTTGTGATTTACCGGTTTACAAAGGCCTGTTTTTAACAGCTGTTCATAAACGCTGTCAATTAATATATGATCAGAGAAAACGAGACATCTCCCGGTAATTCATTTCTTATGGAAAATATATGGATTGACATCTTAGTATTTACCTGTGTAATTACGATGTTACAAACCGTGACGATGACTAGCCAGGAGGACTACCCGTTATAAAAACAACTCATGATCAACTCAGCGGACCTATAATTGACTTTAATATATGCTGTAAATCAATAAAATCATTTCAGTTTAACCGATATTTTATTGCAAAGATAATGGAAAAAAAGACTTGGGATTTAGAATTTTTCTGAATTTCAAACGCTCGATATGCATATATTTGGGGCGCTCTTGCATATGCACTTATAAAACGTGCATGTTCTGTACTTGCATGCGTGTACATTGTATGTATCCGTAAAACCTTAAGAGAGAGACATTTTAAGGGCGTCGACAAAAGAACGTATATTAGATTACATACATGTACATTTAAGTTTCAAAAGTTCCATTACTAGTAGGAATTAATTAAGGTTACATATTTTGAATTTTATTATGAATAAAACAGACAATTAACTCGATATCGAGAAATAAATTGTTTATAAAAATAACTATGCAACTTTCCTGTAATTCAGCGAATAAAATATTAAATAAGATACACTAGCGATTTAATCAAAGATATTATGAAATAATCTGAAAAATTCAACATATTTATCCACTCATGACTTAGTTTACAAAATGAATTTGGAATGGCCATTCTATGATTTGTTTTGTGTATGACTAGGTCGCTGGATCACACACGCCGATTGATCCCCGGTGACCTCCTTTGCCACGCTCTATCGAGGGAGGTGTTACATAATTGTAAACACACAAGGTGAATGTAAAAGGCGCACACTTAATGGCTGTAAATAGTCTATGCTTCAAAGTTATGTTTTATTTTCTCAGTATATTGTGTGTTTTTATATGATAAGAAGAAAAGGTTATCTTTTTTCCCCTTTTTTTTAGTAGACTGGTTTATTTGACTTTGAAAAAAATGAAATAAAACGAAAAGTTGTCAAAAAATAACTTGGAAATAAAGCACAAAACACTTCAAGAACCTTATTCTAAAGAATATTAGCATCTAATGTAGCCAGATTTATTATTTATAGTAAGTTTATTTTAGTTACACGCATGAAGAGCTCTCGTTTACTTGCTGAATGAAAACAGTTACCTGTATATGGGTCAAGCTTCTGGCGCATTTAAAACACAAGACTCGAACAAAATAACATTTTCATGAAATCAATAAGATGTTAAAGAACAACTTTTTTAACGACAGCCATTTCGAAATATTTACCGTTTTTGAGTTCTAAAGCAAAAACATTAAAGGGCTCCAGATCCCTAATTTGAGGGGCCAGCCCCTTTTTAGTGGTGTCAAATGAAAGGCCTTGAAATTGTGCACAACTTTTATTCTACATGTCTTATCAAAATATTTTTAGTTTTAAAGATACAAAGGAAAATATGTCTAAATTTTCGCTCTTTTAAGCGTTCTTAATTTTGACCCCTAATTAGCGCCATTTTGAATACAGAAATCGAAAAACAAAAACCGATGTGCACAACTTCAATCCTTCTATTATCTAAATTCGGTAGAATTTCTGCTCCAGCTTTTGTAGTCTCGGAGCCTTTGTCTGGAAATGAAGCATAATAAATTTTCATTTAAAGGGCAATAACTCAAAAGCGGAAGTGACTTTTTGAACTGTTTGACAGCATTCTGATAGAGTTTTGTAACGTCTATAAACTCTGCAAATTTGAGCAAAATCCGTTGAGAAATGAGCGAGATATGAGGTCTCAAAGTTGGCGTCTAGAAAGGAGAAGAAAAAAAAAGAATAATAATCTTAACCATCAGAATCAGTAGAAGGTCTTCCGTTGGAAACGGAAGACCTTAATAATCTTAATCATCACAATCAGTAGAAGGTCTTCCGTTGGAAACGGAAGACCTTAATTATAGGTAGATTCTTGCAAAGCGAATATTGTTTTGATCAGAAGATGAAATTATGTTTTGAGTCATTTATTGTCATAATTTCAGTTTTTCCCACTTACAGAATTTCAGTCATACTTTTGATACAAATTGCATATAAATACACCTTCAATCTATGTTAGTATTCAATAAAAAGATATTTTTAATTCCTTTAGATCAAAATCTAGTAAATTACAGGAGTCTACAGATTTTCCCAAATCGAAAAAAATGTCCTTTAAGGAGGGATTCTTGTCTGGTTTCTGACTAGATGAAATATTCAAAATATATTTACTTATATATCTTATATATTTAGATGTAAGGAATTTAAAAGATCATATTTTTCTTCCTCATCATAATTGTACAACTTTAGATAAAAATGGTAAACTGAGTTTGAAATCTAGCAGGGACTTATTTATCGCGGAACGGTGGCGTATGAAAATATCTCCTTTTCTGCTTTTCAAAATTACTATAGAACAATAAATTTAGTTAAAACTTTTTAAACAATCAGAGACTGAAAGAAATTTTCAAATGTAAGTAAAAAAAAAATAATAGAATAAAGTCTTAAAATATATCACATAAATATGATTTTCCAAACAAACTACATGTACAATTTTATTAGCTTTTAAAAGCTTCCAATCTTAGTATAGATTTGAGCAAAAAATCAATTAAGACCGTTTTTTCTCTTTTAGTAAACGGTCAAAACTTTCTGTTTTTGTATCATTTTGTATCTTTATATGACTACTTTACTATATGTGAAAATAAGAAAAATTTCAATATCCGACGCATATAAAGATAACTAATATATCCTAAAAATTTAAGAAAAATAGAGGAAATTCGGATTAGCCAATATCTATTTAAGTTAAATTATTCATGTCAATTTGGTAGTATCATCTGATTAGACCCTATATGGTAATATCTTTTTATGCAAAAAGAAAAGTATTTAATTTTTTGAAATAGAAGTAGGCATCGCATGATTGTAATTTTTTATTCTTACGGTCAGGGAAAAAGATAATGACCTTAACCTGACCTTTCTTTTAAAATAAAACGGTCAAATTTAATCTAATTGATACCATCATTTATTGATGATGTCTTCTTGAATCTTTGAAAATTTCATTAATTTATAAATACAAGAAATATGAGAAGAATCCCTCCTTAATGATGCATAATTACCTTTCGGGGCATAATTTTTCAATAAAAATAATGTGTTTTAATTAAACTGTTTGTTATGAACGAAACATGAGAAAAGTCAGCCGTTTCAGATTAAACAGTATGTATGATCTTGACTTCTTTACATTAATATTAGATTAAATATGGACCTATTAGTCTCAGCCAAAAAATCCAATTCTTTGGTCCGATAAAACGCATGTTTAGTATATACATTTTTGTTTAAAATATATGATTACAAATAAAATGAAGAAAATTTCCAAATGTACATAATGAGTAAACAATGTAAGTTAGCACATGGTCAAACCTCAGCTGTGCATTGGGGACCTTTCACTGAACAAATAGTAATTGTGTTGTATATTGATACGAAATAGATAATTATGTCAAGAAATCTTCCACACATTTCCTTCATAATAATGTATTTATGATTTTTAACCGAACATGCTTGTTCAATTATTTGAATTTCAGAATAATTGCAATACTAATCTTAGAAAGTACATAATACTGTTTCCAAAATTTATACTTCACCCCTGAAATACATTTTCTGAATTATAAAACTGATAAAACCCTTCTCTTTTAATTACTTGTATGAAATATGGGATTTTGAAAATAACCCAAATTAATAACTCTTCTGGAACCATTACTTCATCATCTTAATCACAGTTACTATGAAAGGCATGTTGATATCTGGTAGATTAAACTTTCCACTCGCAATTACAGTCTTAATGGAAGCAGTAAATGAATTAGTAAGAAAATTAAACCTAACGTCAGATTTCTTCTGAGCCCAGTTGAACCTAAAAAGAGAAGATTTTTTTAAATTAGCATAAAGATTGAAAAATATACAGATATAAAAATTACAATCTGATTTTATAGAGTTGTTATTAATGAAATTCAAATTTTAACAAATCTTGAAAAATAAATACTCGTCATGCAGTAAATGTATACCGGTATATAATGTATATAAAGGAGAGATCACCATTACCACTATTCCAACTCATTTACGCTATTTTCATCTAAATTTCGGGTGCTCATCACCGCTACATTTTATCAATAAGATTGGCGATTACAACTCAATACCTCTACATACACAAATCTGCCTGCTTTGATACAGAATATGACTTCTTTTCAATATATAATTCACTGACAATTAATGTAGTCCAAGTACATTTATAAAGTATGAGTTCAGTTCAATATTATTTATTCATCCTGTAGTCGGAATACAATTATACAGAGTCAGTTGAATGCCATGGCTACTATTGAGAAGTTTCAAGACAATGTAGGATTAGTCATTGAAGGATTTTCACAAATTAAAAAAAATGTGTCATTTAAAAATAATTTGACTAAAGACTTTAATTATAAAATGAAAAAAAACCCCATCCTGTTCAAAGTTCAACTTTCACCTCCCTGTGGTGACTAGGGAAAAATGTTTTATGCATGTACATCTCTACATGCATAAGGACTGGCTAATTGAAGGGTATTGTAGCTGTAATGTTTACTTATAAATGTTGCGGTAATGTTTACAATTTTGTAGCGGTAATGAGCATGTGGCAATAATGACTGTTATGAAAATGTAGCGGTAATGTAATATATAAAGTAGGAAAAGGTGATATGGAAGGAAAACTAGTGAAGAATTAAAACACATTGTTAACATTAGTCAGGACATTTTTATTTTATACACATCTAAATTATATATATATTTTTTGTTACAATGCTAAAGATTTATCAAAAATGTCCCCTCACCACTTTCTATTTACAGTTTTGTCTCAGAGAGTACTTTGTTCATGTTTGCAACTAGAAGTGACGTTGCCTTGTCCACCATTTTCCCTGACCTTTGTGAGGAAGACTTCATTGTGTCTTCATTTATTAAAGGACATTCTGGAAGATTGTTGCTTGCCTTGCCAGTTTTACTTTCTCTGTGTACCTTTGATTTCTTCACATTTACATCTCTCTTCCCATTTTGCATTTCTAAGCTTTTGCCCGCTTTTTTGTCTTTTCTGGTTTTTCCATTCTCGACAACCGTTTCATCAGTCGTAGAGAGTTTTTCATGTATTTGGTTTATTGCTCCGTTTTTCTCGTATTTTATGTTTTGCTTCTGCTGTGTGCCATTGTCATGTGCATCATTTCCAACAATGTTATTGAGATCACTTTCTTGAAAGTTGGCAACAGTCTGATATTTTAAATTCCTTTCATCTACATGGGATAATCCATTAATTGAGTCTGTTGACTTTTCACTGACACACTCGTTAACATTATCACTACCATTATTACACATTTTATTGACTTCACTAGAAATGTCTTGAATAAGAGGACTCTGTTTGCTGAATATTTCTTCTTCTGGCAAACGTGCTATCAAGGCTGCACCAACGTTTTGTACATGGTCGTATTCAACGTCTGGAGATGTAGGAGAAGACAAGGCATTGGACCACGCCATATCATAATCACCACTCTGTGTCAATAGTCTGAAAAACCCATTGTCATAGTTATCTTTGTCATTTATCCTGCTGGTAATGGCGAAATTTGATTTTTTGATTACACTTGCTGCCAAATCGTATGTTTCACTTTGTTCCTCTTCAAAGACATTGATACTTTTGTAGATACGTGTTATTGCTTCTGAAATGGGTTTACAGGGACTATCATTCTCTTGTTGTATGCGAAGAGATCGGAGTTTTCTTTTTACTTGACAGCTGACACAACTACAATTGTTTAAATGTTTTTGTTTTATTTAATGTAAAGATGATACTGCATCAATGCTTTATATATACTTACAAAATAATTCAAACTCACCAGTAAACACACAATACGTTGATTATTATGAGGATGCAACAAAATCCAACAACAATGAATATGTTTTCGAGGTCTGGAAGAAAACAATCGGATTTTCCTGAAAAAAAAAAAAATAGGCAAATGAATAATTTGATGATATACTGAAAATATACACGTTTTTCAAAATAATGAATCGGAATAATATCAAGAAAATATTCTATGACTTTTGTTGCTGATAAAATTTCAATGATCAACATTTTTCAACTACGTGTTTTCCTTCTAAATTTTACTTTTTCCAGTTAATTAAATATTGGTTAACGTTTTAGCGAGACTACTTTACCCGAGTAATGGAATCACCAGCAAAATGTGTATGATATGGACCTCATCTAATGCTTGATATATACTTAATCATCCTAGTGCCGTCGGAGACACATGAATAATGTTTTAAGGTCCCATTCGAAAGACTCGCGACTTCCACAAGGAATGCTGAATTTTTGGCTACGAAACAGTACGGATTATTTAAATGTTAAGGTCTGACACAACGAGGAGTCAAACTGTTTCCTCACAAAAATGCAAACGTTCCACCATGAAACCAGTTAAAATGCCTTTGAATGTGATGGCCGATTATGTATGTAAAGAATACACATTAACTTTCCTGACATCCTGGACCACTCTAGAATGTGTCGTTTCGTAAATGGATTTTGTGTAATGCACTCACATACTTTGTATAAACATGCATATTATGTTTTTAGAAAACTTCAAATTCAAAGGAAACATTACTAGAACTGCCTTTACGAGATGAATACATAAAACAGTGCTTTACCAAAGCATTTCTTTTTTTTCAAAGCAGAATACATTAGAATGAAATATGAAAATAACAAACAGCAATCAAACTAAAAAAAAAATCATTGAAACAATACAAAAGCGGAGAAGAGACATCTAAACTATTCTAAAATACTAGTACTGAATGAATAAAAAAATTAATAATGAATAAAAAATAAAATAAAGGTATTAAAAGTATTGATCCGACGTGGCGTTTTTAATTCATTATTTCAAATCCATTCCAAAGTTAAAGGACAAACCATGAAAACATAAATTTGCAACATTGGGAAAGTTGAAATAATTTTCTTCGCTCAGGTAGTCAAAACATATTTTGATTATCTTTTTTCTCGACACTACCAAGCTTTGGTTAACTCTGAATGTATGCGTTGTCATTATGATTCAATTATTTAGCGGAAAGAAACAATAGGAGAAAGAAACAATAGCGTCAGAGGCTATTTTCCTCCCAAGGAAATATAAAATGATGGTAGGTAATGTTTTGTTGTTTTCTTGTCTTAGACAAAGGATATTAAAACTTCGCTATTCAAAGAAATGACATTGTAATTAACAATGTCATCTATACTCCTTCTTCGAGTATTGTATTTCACATGAAAAAGGTTAAGATAAGAAAAGTGATCGATCTTGAAAATCTTGAAATTCCAGGGGTGGAATCAGGTGCCCAGGAGGAGTAAGCATCCCCTGTTGACCGGTCACACCCACTGCAAACCCTATATATTAATCATGTAGACAGTCCATTCCCTAGTCAAATTCAGTATAACAGTATGTTTTGAATTTTTATTAAATCTATCGCTGTGTGTTATTTTCACCTTTGTTATGTATCCATTTTCGTAGAGGGGACAGGGAACAAACTCTGACATTTTATAACCCATGTATTTATGACTACAATTATTTTGAAGAAATTGAAGCAGTAAATATGCATTTAACTAGGGTAATATTCCCTTTAGATGAATAAGCGTACATTCCCTCTCCTTTACTCTGTTTAACATTTAACACCAAAGCTCATTTCATAGGAAAAAGATAAAATACGAAAATAACGAACAGTGATCATGCTCAAAAGTCTATTGAAACAATCCAAACTGGAAGCAGAGCAAACAGGATCTCAAAGAAGCAAAGTCAGTATATGTATACCGTTTTTATCTCCAATGGTCACGTGAGAGGATACGACAGATGTATATGTAGTAGTACCTTCGATATTGTTTTCCTCAATGTAAATGATAACTTTGAAAGGAGGATGACCATCTAAAAATATAATGAAAAGATAAATTAAGTTATGAATATAACGGACAATAACACTGGTTTACTAATTTTGAATTTCTGTCAAGCAAAGCAATTGAAATATATTAATACCAGATTCATTGCATCCATCATTGAAAGAATTATTGCATGATACATATTCTGAATATGAGGCTCCTCTATACACCAAACACGTAGATGGCTTAGGAATTCCTGTGTAGAATTTATATTTAATTTTTTTTATTAGCTTCATATGAACGCACGTGCAAACAGATACTTCACACAGATGTATACATGCGTTTATCTGTTCATTATAATTTTTATATGAACCTTCAACTCCCTTTGACCATCTGTCTCTAATTATATATTTTTGTCCTGGTGTAAGTTTAGTCTTCAATTCTTCAAAGGATGAACCATTCTTATTCACTTGTACAGGACTCATACAGAATTGGCAATGTTTTTTCCTTGTGCGACAGTCTTGTAGCAAAACAAATTCAAAATTATACAATACCATTTAAAAAATAATTTTTAAAAAGAATAATGCTTCATGTATTAATATTTGAGTTTACCTACCTAAACATGTTTCATTTTCTTCTATCCTTTGAATTTGCACAACTATTACACCTTCAATACATACATGTGCATATAAAATTTTCTCGCCAATAAAATACTCTGATCATTATTAAAGTTTCTTTCTAAATTTAATATTTGTCTCATAAGTTTTTTCTTTAAAAAATGAGATGACCCTTTCACAGCAATTTTGCAAGAAAATAATTTTTAGCAGTCATGATTAAATTCAAAAACTTAACTCATCCTAAAACATCAATTCAGCAAATTCACGAAATATACATATTTGCAAAATGACATATGCCTTATTAAAGTTCAAATAAATATATTTTTTTTGTATTTTGAATTTAAATTTTAATTAATCAGACAAAAAATAGGATAAATCTTGATTTTAGTATTTGCAAGCATTAAAAATTGTAATAGAAGTACTTAATTGTATTTAATGACATATCCAAATTCTTTAATCTTAATCGAGGAAAATGTACATCAAAAACATTTTCAAAAAGCTCTTTTTTTCATATATGTCAAATTGAGATAAGCTTATAATTTCGTTAAGGACACACTGAAAAGGTTCGATTTATGTAATGCATAACAAACTAGTGGGTATGTGTTATATTATTTACTATGCTTGTTTGTTTGTATGTTGTTTAACGTCCCTCTCGAGAATTTTTCACTCATATGGAGACGCCACCACTTGCCGGTGGAGAGCTGCAAATTTCGTCCTATACTCGGCACTTACGGCCGTTGAGCAGTGAGGGATCTTTTTCGTGCCAGCACCTACTGCGACACGGGACCTCGGTTTATACGGTCTCAACCGAAGGACCGGTCTCCACGTCCCACAGTGGGATTCGAACCCGCGACGTAAGGATCAACTCCTTACTAAGTGACTCTAACCACTGCGCCACGCGGGCGACTTATTTACTATGAGTACTGTGTATAAAACAGATTTGTAAAAATTAATTTCTTCATAGAGAAGTCTGAATTCAGTATAATAGATTGTAATAGGTTGTTATCCATTAAGTATGTATACCTTTATCTCTTCTCTATCTCTTGGTAAAAAAAAATAATAAGGCGTCAAAAGCATAAAGTATTACGAGGGTTATCGTTTGGATAATGGTGTATTTTCAATGAAATGTGAAGATAACGAATATGTTTATCAAAACTGAATTAACGGAGAGACATATACTCCATATGCAGGCGATGGTGGTATATTGCTTCATAAATAATGGACGCTGACCATAGAGGTTTTGAAGTCATCACGATTTTCATAAAGTTTAATTGCTAGTTTGCCACCATTGCCTTTCTCTAGTGAATTATTCAAATATGAAACAGATGTTTCAGATTCTGGATTCTTTTATTTTTCAAAGGGATATATCGTATCGACGTGGGAATGAAAAAGCTAGCTGATAGAGCGCACGGCCCAGGGTTGGAATGGAATAAACTTTTTAGTTTGTTTGTTTATTTATTCCTTAAGCCACATGGCTTATCAGATTACATACAGATTAGTAACGTTTTTGAATCAAATGAAAAAAAAGATGAAGATAACGAACAGTGATCGGTCTCATAAAAATTTTTAACAATAGAAATCTGTGAATAGGGCATAAAAACGGACCCGTGGAAATTCCAGGGTTGGGATCAGGTGCCTAGGAGGAGTAAGAATCCCCTGTTGACCAGTCACATCCGCCTTAAGCCCTATGTATTGATCAAGTAGACAGAACATTCCGTAGTCAAACTTAGTTTCAAAAAGTCAAAATTATTTTATTTCATAAAAGCTTTAAAAAAATAAAGTAAATAAAGCGGCTGGTGTCAGTTTCTTATATCTTTATTATCGCTTCTTGGGCAGATAGTGGAGATATCAAGGAAAATCTATAAAATATGTCTGAAAATATCATTCATAAAATGATATGTTGATAATAATAAAACGTCGTCAGCGACAGAAAAATTCGAACAGTTAGGAATAAACGGACTATCTCCAATGAATTTACTGTCGAGGTAGCTCAGTCGGTAGAGCGCTAGCTCAGTGATCGGAAGGTCGTGTGTTTGAATCACGGACGCGACTGATCTAAGTCGACATCAAATAGGTAGCAACTGTTCCTTCGCCAAGCGCTCGACATTTTGAAGTGAAAGTTGCATATCTATTGAAGGAGAGCTTAAAAACGAGGCCCCGTGTTACAGTAGGCGTTGGCACGATATAGAACCCTCACTGCTCAATGGCCCTGAGTGCCGAGTAAAGGTCTAAATTTGAAGCCATTCACCGGTATATTGTGACGTCTCTATGAGTGAAAAATTCTTGAACGGGACGTTAAACAATATACAATCAATCAATCATTCTAATGTATTTGATTTGCAATAAGTATAAACTATTTTTCGATGGCATATACACTTTGACAGAAACAGCAACAAGCTAAAGACCAGGTACTTTGATGAAAATATGTTACCCCATTTATAAATTTATTATAAATCTAGCATAACATCGGACTGAGACATACAATCTGTATATATGAAGTGTGTCTAAAGATTACGTTCTCATAATACTGTATTTATTTGTTTTTTAAAAATAAATTTAATCAGTCATATTCTACATCAAAACTATATCTTACATACTTTGCATTGTAACCTTACGGGGGAAAAATATCAAGTGTTCAAAAACATGTGAAAATACGAAATCACTATTTATGACGATTTTGAAAAATGTAATATGGAGTAACGAACAGTTTTCAGCTAAGCTTAAAAGTTCTTTAAAAAACAAAACAAATCGGGAGCAGAGCAAAAGTGCATCAGAGATGGGATCAGGTGCCAAGGAAGAGTAAGCATTAACCATAGAATTGCAAAATGATGACTTCAAACGAAAGTGTTGATATTCTAGTTTCATCACTTTGTTTGACAATAGCTTGTCTCCTTTTGGAAATTGTGTAGTGTATGCCCTTGCGTATCGAATCAACTGGGAGACATAAACTTCATATGCAGGTGATACGGGTAGATTGCTACATAAACAAGGGAAGTTGACGATAGAAAAGTTGAAATCAGCACATCTATCATAAAGTTTTGTTGTCAGGTTACCATTAATGTCTTTTTCTAGTAAAATATCCAAACATGAAACAGATGTGTCAGAATCTGTGGTATATTTTATATCGAGTTCAAAGGGATATATCAAGTTGACATATATTAAAATAGAAGTAACTATTGTTAATTGATATTATGTCTTCGATATATCTTAATGTCGAGTTGAAGGTTTAATATCAGACTGAACCGTGCGTCTGAAGCTAGCATATACTTAATATTTAACCGAAACATTTGTGAATTTTTTTGTATTATTTCAGCTTTGATACATTTATAAAACTTGGTCTATATTGAAATATTATTGTACACATTTTGCAGAAAGGAAATTATAGCATTATTTGTCTACGAACTTTATTTACAATGTGTATATGTACGTAGGAGCTTATTTTACCCCATGAATTCTCATACTTAGCTTTTCCAAGCCAAGTATTATTCGTTGTAACATCGTTCTCAGTCGAAGGTTGCTTATTATATGAAGCACAGACATCCATCGACTCTTCCCATGTTATTCTTAAGGACAGTGCTATCCCAAAAAAGGCAGCTGAGAAAAACAAAAGAAAACTTTTTATCAAACACAAGATGAAATTACTGAATATTCACTGAAAGGTATGGATTGAAATATGGAGATAACGAACAGTATTCAAGCTCAAAGTCCATAAACACAATACAAATCGGGAGCAGAGCAAATATAACCGTCTAAATTGTGCCTCCAATCTTTGCAGATATATAGAAGACGGAACTCCAAATATACGGCAATAACAATTTATTAACAATGTGGACAGGCTCTGCCATATAGCGGACAAGAGCGCTGTCCAGCGTGGCTCTCTTAGCGAAGGCCAGCCGATAACAGAATAATATGTACAAAACAGCAAATTACATACAATTACATAATATTTACAAGAGAACTATTTATCAATTATTTAATCAATTATTTATATTGTCCAGGAGATAAATGTTTACTCAAGTGTTTAACTCTGAAGTCCTTTGACACCCGTAAGTTCAAACTGGCTGGAGGCATTTTGATCATTGTCTACGATTTGTCCCGGATAAACACATATGTTTTAACATATAATTTCCTTGGTCACATAAACACCGATCTCCATAATCATCAGAGGTGGGCACAGGTGCCATGAAGGAGTAAGCATCCCCTGCCGACCGGTCACACCCGTCGTGTGCTCCTTGTCATGATCGGGAAAACTCCGTCGACAATTCAGTGTGTAAGTAATGGCTTAACAATTAGTACGAAAATAAGTCAGTCAGATTGTATTTGCTGACAACGTCATTGTATTGACTATAGAGCTTACGAAATGATGGCCTTGAACGAGACTGTTAATATTCTTGTTTCATCAACTTGTTTGTCAGTAACTTACCTCGTTTTAAAATTGTTCATACTTAGAGCATGCTCTCGCGTATCGAATCAATGGAGATATATACACCCTATATGCAGGTTATAAGGGTATATTGCTGCATAAGTATAGGAAGTGGACGATTGAAAAGTTAAAGTCATCGCGTTTATCATAAAGCTTGGTTGTTAGATTACCATTGACGTCTTTTCTAGTAAAATATCCAAATATGAAACAGATGTGTCAGACCCAGTGGTATGTTTTATTTCAAGCTCACTGGGATATATCTTGTCGACATACGAAAATAACTATTATTAATTTATAATAGGTCGTGGATATATCTAAATGTCGAGTTGAAGACCATAGCAAGAGATTTCTTTTTCTCATGTATAAGATTTTGAATAAATTCTGCTTTATATGAATACCAAAATAGGTTTGCTAACAACGGTGCGTAATTTGTACCCATGGGCATTCCAAGAGATTGTTGGAAGACCTGGTCTC